CGAGTGACCCATTTGGATTTGTCCTGGCGCAGCCACCAGACAGTCTACCCAAAGATCTTGTTCTTCAGTGTGCCCAACGCGGACTGACGGACCGTATTTCTCTACTGAGTGTACCGTTGGTCCATCCAGACGGTCGCCGTGAACTACGCAAGCTATTCGCGTGGCAGCACGTTGGCGAGCAGGGCACGGATATCAAACCTACACGTGTTCCCACAAATATTGAATACCAGTCAGAAGTTCTCATGTCTGTGGCGGTATTGGAGGAGCACTCATCGGAAAAGTTATTCAAAGAGCTGGTGCGTCTTCATCGTCAAGCGGCAGCAGCCCGCGACAAGCGCGCTGAAGCAGGTGGTGGAGGCCCACGCAAAAAGTTCAATGAGATGCCACCCTGGCATGTCCTCGACGCCGAGATGGCCAACATCGTGAAGACCAAACTCGTCCCCACTGATTTGGATACCATATGTTACAGTGGGCGGATGTTCAATGAGGATGATACAGGTCGTCGCGCATTGTCAGCTTTATTTCGTATACCAGCAAATCGAGTTCAGCAGCTTCGTGAAGTATCAGGCCCTGATGGAGTATTCTTTCAAAGATCCAACATCGGCAGCGACGGAGCAGTACTCAAGCAGGAGAAACAAGACGAGGAGTTTGTGCCCTTCCAGCGCGGCAAAACTATCACCGAGGCGATCGAGTTGACAGCCTCCCTGGAAGGTGCATGTGGGCTTGGCTATCACTTCAAGTCGCTCAACCTCTTTCTTCGTGTCAAAAAGCAAAGTGCGGCAGCAGCATGGCAGGCGCTACAGCAAAGAGCGCCTCCAGCGGCCACGATCTACGAGATCTCTCCCTTGCCAGCTTTGATCGACGGTAAATCTTTGTGTGACCAGCTCAAGACGCAGCTGGGATGGCAATCTGAATTTGTGAGTGTACGACAACGTGGCAATGCCAAACGACGCGTCCCAATGGTACGTGTGCGTGCTGAACCAGCCCCTGCCAGTCGCGATATATCTATTGGAGGATGTCAAGCTACGATCAATCCAAGAGTTGAGGAGATTACTGATGTTCCTACCACAGCACCTACGTGGGCCGAGCTTGTCACACAATATTCTACGAGTGCGTCTACATCTACACCGAAGCCGCCTGCGACAGCCAGAAAGAGCATAGCTGCGCAATTGACTAGACCGAATCCGACGGCACAGGCTCAAGATGCACAGATGCCACCTCGAGTACAACCGCAAGCTCAACAGCCAGAAGCAGGCGCAGGGCTATCATCAAAATTTCGTGAATTTCTAACATCAGCTATAGGAGCCGCAGTTGGAAGCCACAACTCAGCAATATTATCACAGCTGCACCTTCAAGGTCAAGGACTTGCACGGTGTCTGGACATGATGATTGGCCCAGCTCCCACCGCTGCACCATCCTCGCCATCGACAGCTACTCTGGTTACTGATGAAGAACGCAAGCGGAAGGCCGAGCTTGAGGAGTTCACAAAGAAGCTCAATACGTCCTTGGAAATGAAGGTGGAACAATGATGGCCTCGCGACGTATGCGAGGCAAGCAGCCGCCACCTCCTACAGCGGCGGCTGAGGGAGAGATCCCAGTTTTGGCCACAATCTTATCAGCAAATGTCACATCCTGGAATTCGTTTGTGGGCCGCATGGACACCATGGACGCCGACTTACTTCTATTGCAAGAGACGCGATTGGATTACAAACAACAAATGGGGTGCTCGAAGGCTTGTCAGGCTCACGGATATGAAGCAACTTTCGGACACCCGCTCAGAGCTCAGAAATGTCTTGGAGATAAATATCACCGTACACAGCAAGGTGGTGTTGGCACTATTGCCAAACGATCTCTGGTCACGCTTCCAGGCGGGCGAAAGTATGGGGCTGCCAAGGAGATGTTTGCGACGACCCGCTGGCTGCGAATTGTAGCGCTCTTTGGCTCACGCCCCATCCACTTCGTCAATCTCTACAACGAGGCTGGCCACGACAACATGATCAGGACCCGTAATGATCGGAACCTGCACTACACTTTCGAGGATGCTGAGAGCCCTGGCGACCAAGCCGCGGTCATCTGCATGGACGCGAACACCACTACGGGGCACTCCTCAACGCTGGCGGCCATTCTTGCCACGGGCCGCTGGCACGACGTGGGAGCTATGTATGGAGCTGAACCGACATATGGAGTGGACCCTACATGGGACAAATTTACACCTGGTACGAATGTGAGTCGCCCAGACCTCATCATAGTCAACACGGCGGCCAGGGATGCGATCAAAACGTTTCGACTACGTCGCGACCTGGGAATCAAAAGTCACTTGGGGCTCGAGGTGGTGCTGAACGTTGTGCAGCTGACGAATACTTTTGACAGCATCAGGATCCCACGAGCCTATCCAGTTGACTCCGTCATCAAAGTTAGTGCCGAGGAGAGCGACGCCCTCGGACGACAATGTATAGAAGTACACTATGAAGCCTTCGAGCAAGCGCTTGTAGACGAACGGGCCGAAGATGCTTGGGCCCTTGTCGGAAAGATTGGAGAACTATATCTGGAGAAGAGGCTTGATCATACCGGTATCACCTTTGGAGCTGCGTATCATGGTCGAAGCCAAGAGCCTGAACTCACTACCTGGGAGAGCACGGCACCACCTGCAGGGCGAGACAAGCTGAAGGAGGGACCCACAGCGACAATTTTACGACGCTTGGAGAACCTCATCAGCCGTCTAGCCGAGCTGGCACTGCAACTGCATCGTGGAGCCACATACCCCAGCTTCCAGGCAACTTTGAGGTCCCAAGCGCTGTGGCGTAAGATACGAGGACCACTTCAACGTGAACTACATCTACCTCCAGCTGGTCTACCCATTGGATTACCGTGTTCTGCTCAGATTGGGGAATGGAACACAAGCCTGGAGAAAAAAACAGCAAACATGTCAAGGAGCGCAAGCTGGCGAGGATTGACAGCTGGCGCAAGACCTTGAGAGAATCTTTACGATATTCTGGCGGCCGTGAGGTCTATGCTTGGATCAAACAACGCCAATACCAAACCATTCATGCAGTACGTGGACATGCAGACCCTGCTCGGATTCACACACGCAGAACGGAAATGCTACAACAGATAGATCTTTTTTGGAGCAGGATCTTCAATAAGGGCGAGCTGAAGACGTGGGACAGGTTCGAGGCCCGCTTCGGCAAGCACATCAAGCAACACCCGTGCGAGATCGAGGACATCACAGGCCATCGACTTCACCAACAGTTTTGCAAAATGAATGTACATCGCGCTGCTGCTGCTGACGGATGGAGAGTTGCCGAGCTTCGTCTCTTGCCACCCTGCATTTGTGACCTCTTTGCCGCCCTCTGCAAGGGAGTGGAGGATGCCTGGTTACGTTGGCCACGTGCGATGACCCTTGGAATAACGAGCTGCCTCCCGAAGTGGGATCAGGAGGCCGATCTTGCCGCGGAGATAGAGCCAGACAACGTGTGGACAGCATCTATTTCAGACACGAGGCCTATCACCAACTTGAGCCCAATCTACACCGCCGTCACAGGCGACAGATTCACCCAAATGGCCCCCTGGCGCGAACTTTGGCTTCATGACGGCGCTACTGGGGCGAGGAAAGGGTACCACTACCAAGCTGTATCTTGGGAGCTGGCGCTGGACATCGAGTACGCACACATCACAGGCACCCCGACCCCAGGATGTTCAGCGGACCGCCGACAATTCTTCGATCTCCTTGAGTACGAGATCGGCAACAGACTGATGAAAGCGCTGGGCTGCCCAGACGGAGTCACGCACGCGTCCACCATCTTCTACGAGGATCTCCGAGCGAGGTGGAAGGTAGCACGTGCAGTAGGCCCAGAGACTAAGCGTAGCAACGGTTTTATCCAAGGTGACTCCTGGTCCCTGCAGCAAGCACTTGCATTGATGTCGATATGGAGCCACGCCTTGGAGAAGGAAGCGGAGGTCAAAGTTGCTTCCTTCATTGATGATGGAAATTTCAGAGCAGAAGGACCCAATCATGCCATTCGGACCGCCAACGCAACGACTATTTCAGTTGAATTTGATCGGCATTCAGGTACCCAAACCAATGTTGACAAAACCAAGCACTTTGCCACATCGATCAAGGCAGAAAAGGAGCTTCGGAATCATCTCCACGCCCAAGGACATGACCAAGCATCGATTGTACGTATGTTTACCCTGGTGGGAGGAGAGATATGCACGCTGGGCATGTGCCCGCAGGCCGAGAGACGCCGACGGTACACTTCAGCACATCGTGTGACACAACGCACTGGAGCAGCCCCACTTGGACTTCAGGGAAAGCAGCGTCTCTTGGCCACAGCAGCCTTGTCACGCCTTGCGCCAGGGATGGAATACCGACGGCTGCCGAAACACAATCATCTCAATTTCAGATCGGCGGTGATAAAAAAGTACGTGGCAAAGAGGGAGAGCGCATCGTTCCCCAGCCATGACTCTAACTCTTGTTACTCGAGGTCACCTGCTTGACCCTGTGCAGATCGCCACTGCCCAACCACTGGTGATTGCAAGGCGACTCTTCTCCAGCCCGAGTGCACCACGACTACTACGACGTGCGAAGCAGTGCTGGGACATTTTGCAGCATCGAGTGACATGTAACGTGAAGGAAAACGACACTGGGCCAATCAACAGAATCCGCTCAGTCTTGAAAGATCTACAATGGACATGGCCAGCCTTCGGCTATTTTGAGAGGACTAATCATCAAAGAGTTTACCTCACCAAGCACCCCATGGGCTGCAGCGAACCGACCTCCAGTTGCAAGAACGTAAAGACATGAAGGGCTGCTCTGCTGGCCTGAACTATCATGTGACCACGTCCATCCTGCGCAAGGCTGACCGCATCACCAAGCCTGACGACGAGGACGTTGACGACGAGCCGAAGGAGCAGCCTCCGCTGCTACTTGGATCTTCGGACATACCAGTACCCAAATTGACTACCAAGCAGGTTCCTTTCTTGCGAAGGATGACGGCGAGGTCTGTGACATAGTGGAGTACGACCAGAGGGGCTTGACTATGAGCTCCTGGGACAGCTCCACCGAGACGTACAACCTTCTGGGCTCCAACTTCGAGCTCTCGGTTGTCATGACAACGGAGGTGGGGCACGACGCTTTCCACGACGTTGCGAAGTACGTTCACATGTTTGTTCTTCAGAATATTGATATCAATTTTGAGGAAGGATGTTGTTGGGGCTTCGTCTTTCCTGGTGATCGGGAATATTCGCTCGGATACAGGTGGTTGATAACCCACCAAGCATGGAATCGACTTCAGCATGCGCTCCACGGCAATGGACCAGACCTTGGGGCAAAGGTTGCGCTGCGTAAAAGATTGGCGAAGTTGGCCAACACTCCCGCAATGATGGCATCTCGGGTCATGACAGTGCTCGAGATGAAAGATATGCCTCAGGCTCAGAAGACCTACGATCACCTCAGGAACGTGAGTAAAGAGCGAATGGCAGAAATTTCACGGATGGAGGCGGACAAAATCTTTCCAGAGATCACCAAGTGGTTAAAGGAGAGGCCGATTGGTTCGACACCTCCAGCAGCGGATAAGGAACCCAAGAAGAAGAAACTCAAAAAGAAGAAGACTACCACAGCCACTACTCCGCCGAGCTGGCAGCTGATGACCAAGCTCGATGACGCGGACTGGTCGCTACCCACCACGCGTGGACTACCTCAGCAGTATGACGACATGAAGCGGATCCATCTGGTTACCGTGAGTGAGATGTCGCAGTTGGTTGCAGATAAAGACTTCTGGAACAAAGCGCCCTCGAGTGACCCATTTGGATTTGTCCTGGCGCAGCCACCAGACAGTCTACCCAAAGATCTTGTTCTTCAGTGTGCCCAACGCGGACTGACGGACCGTATTTCTCTACTGAGTGTACCGTTGGTCCATCCAGACGGTCGCCGTGAACTACGCAAGTTATTCGCGCGGCAGCACGTTGGCGAGCAGGGCACGGATATCAAACCTACACGTGTTCCCACAAATATTGAATGCCAGTCAGAAGTTCTCATGTCTGTGGCGGTATTGGAGGAGCACTCATCGGAAAAGTTATTCAAAGAGCTGGTGGGTCTTCATCGTCAAGCGGCAGCAGCCCGCGACAAGCGTGCTGAAGCAGGTGGTGGAGGCCCACGCAAAAAGTTCAATGAGATGCCACCCTGGCATGTCCTCGACGCCGGGATGGCCAACATCGTGAAGACCAAACTCGTCCCCACTGATTTGGATACCATATGTTACAGTGGGCGGATGTTCAATGAGGATGATACAGGTCGTCGTGCATTGTCAGCTTTATTTCGTATACCAGCAAATCGAGTTCAGCAGCTTCGTGAAGTATCAGGCCCTGATGGAGTATTCTTTCAAAGATCCAACATCGGCAGCGACGGAGCAGTACTCAAGCAGGAGAAACAAGACGAGGAGTTTGTGCCCTTCTAGCGCGGCAAAACTATCACCGAGGCGATCGAGTTGACAGCCTCCCTGGAAGGTGCATGTGGGCTTGGCTATCACTTCAAGTCGCTCAACCTCTTTCTTCGTGTCAAAAAGCAAAGTGCGGCAGCAGCATGGCAGGCGCTACAGCAAAGAGCGCCTCCAGCGGCCACGATCTACGAGATCTCTCCCTTGCCAGCTTTGATCGACGGTAAATCTTTGTGTGACCAGCTCAAGACGCAGCTGGGATGGCAATCTGAATTTGTGAGTGTACGACAACGTGGCAATGCCAAACGACGCGTCCCAATGGTACGTGTGCGTGCTGAATCAGCCCCTGCCAGTCGCGATATATCTATTGGAGGATGTCAAGCTACGATCAATCCAAGAGTTGAGAAGATTACTGAAGTTCCTACCACAGCACCTACGTGGGCCGAGCTTGTCACACAATATTCTACGAGTGCGTCTACATCTACACCGAAGCCGCCTGCGACAGCCAGAAAGAGCTGCGTAATTGACTAGACCGAATCCGACGGCACAGGCTCAAGATGCACAGATGCCACCTCGAGTACAACCGCAAGCTCAACAGCCAGAAGCAGGCGCAGGGCTATCATCAAAATTTCGTGAATTTCTAACATCAGCTATAGGAGCCGCAGTTGGAAGCCACAACTCAGCAATATTATCACAGCTGCACCTTCAAGGTCAAGGACTTGCACGGTGTCTGGACATGATGATTGGCCCAGCTCCCACCGCTGCACCATCCTCGCCATCGACAGCTACTCTGGTTACTGATGAAGAACGCAAGCGGAAGGCCGAGCTTGAGGAGTTCACAAAGAAGCTCAATACGTCCTTGGAAATGAAGGTGGAACAATGATGGCCTCGCGACGTATGCGAGGCAAGCAGCCGCCACCTCCTACAGCGGCGGCTGAGGGAGAGATCCCAGTTTTGGCCACAATCTTATCAGCAAATGTCACATCCTGGAATTCGTTTGTGGGCCGCATGGACACCATGGACGCCGACTTACTTCTATTGCAAGAGACGCGATTGGATTACAAACAACAAATGGGGTGCTCGAAGGCTTGTCAGGCTCACGGATATGAAGCAACTTTCGGACACCCGCTCAGAGCTCAGAAATGTCTTGGAGATAAATATCACCGTACACAGCAAGGTGGTGTTGGCACTATTGCCAAACGATCTCTGGTCACGCTTCCAGGCGGGCGAAAGTATGGGGCTGCCAAGGAGATGTTTGCGACGACCCGCTGGCTGCGAATTGTAGCGCTCTTTGGCTCACGCCCCATCCACTTCGTCAATCTCTACAACGAGGCTGGCCACGACAACATGATCAGGACCCGTAATGATCGGAACCTGCACTACACTTTCGAGGATGCTGAGAGCCCTGGCGACCAAGCCGTGGTCATCTGCATGGACGCGAACACCACTACGGGGCACTCCTCAACGCTGGCGGCCATTCTTGCCACGGGCCGCTGGCACGACGTGGGAGCTATGTATGGAGCTGAACCGACATATGGAGTGGACCCTACATGGGACAAATTTACACCTGGTACGAATGTGAGTCGCCCAGACCTCATCATAGTCAACACGGCGGCCAGGGATGCGATCAAAACGTTTCGACTACGTCGCGACCTGGGAATCAAAAGTCACTTGGGGCTCGAGGTGGTGCTGAACGTTGTGCAGCTGACGAATACTTTTGACAGCATCAGGATCCCACGAGCCTATCCAGTTGACTCCGTCATCAAAGTTAGTGCCGAGGAGAGCGACGCCCTCGGACGACAATGTATAGAAGTACACTATGAAGCCTTCGAGCAAGCGCTTGTAGACGAACGGGCCGAAGATGCTTGGGCCCTTGTCGGAAAGATTGGAGAACTATATCTGGAGAAGAGGCTTGATCATACCGGTATCACCTTTGGAGCTGCGTATGATGGTCGAAGCCAAGAGCCTGAACTCACTACCTGGGAGAGCACGGCACCACCTGCAGGGCGAGACAAGCTGAAGGAGGGACCCACAGCGACAATTCTACGACGCTTGGAGAACCTCATCAGCCGTCTAGCCGAGCTGGCACTGCAACTGCATCGTGGAGCCACATACCCCAGCTTCCAGGCAACTTTGAGGTCCCAAGCGCTGTGGCGTAAGATACGAGGACCACTTCAACGTGAACTACATCTACCTCCAGCTGGTCTACCCATTGGATTACCGTGTTCTGCTCAGATTGGGGAATGGAACACAAGCCTGGAGAAAAAAACAGCAAACATGTCAAGGAGCGCAAGCTGGCGAGGATTGACAGCTGGCGCAAGACCTTGAGAGAATCTTTACGATATTCTGGCGGCCGTGAGGTCTATGCTTGGATCAAACAACGCCAATACCAAACCATTCATGCAGTACGTGGACATGCAGACCCTGCTCGGATTCACACACGCAGAACGGAAATGCTACAACAGATAGATCTTTTTTGGAGCAGGATCCTCAATAAGGGCGAGCTGAAGACGTGGGACAGGTTTGAGGCCCGCTTCGGCAAGCACATCAAGCAACACCCGTGCGAGATCGAGGACATCACAGGCCATCGACTTCACCAACAGTTTTGCAAAATGAATGTACATCGCGCTGCTGCTGCTGACGGATGGAGAGTTGCCGAGCTTCGTCTCTTGCCACCCTGCATGTGTGACCTCTTTGCCGCCCTCTGCAAGGGAGTGGAGGATGCCTGGTTACGTTGGCCACGTGCGATGACCCTTGGAATAACGAGCTGCCTCCCGAAGTGGGATCAGGAGGCCGATCTTGCCGCGGAGATAGAGCCAGACAACGTGTGGACAGCATCTATTTCAGACACGAGGCCTATCACCAACTTGAGCCCAATCTACACCGCCGTCACAGGCGACAGATTCACCCAAATGGCCCCCTGGCGCGAACTTTGGCTTCATGACGGCGCTACTGGGGCGAGGAAAGGGTACCACTACCAAGCTGTATCTTGGGAGCTGGCGCTGGACATCGAGTACGCACACATCACAGGCACCCCGACCTCAGGATGTTCAGCGGACCGCCGACAATTCTTCGATATCCTTGAGTACGAGATCGGCAACAGACTGATGAAAGCGCTGGGCTGCCCAGACGGAGTCACGCACGCGCCCACCATCTTCTACGAGGATCTCCGAGCGAGGTGGAAGGTAGCACGTGCAGCAGGCCCAGAGACTAAGCGTAGCAACGGTTTTATCCAAGGTGACTCCTGGTCCCTGCAGCAAGCACTTGCATTGATGTCGATATGGAGCCACGCCTTGGAGAAGGAAGCGGAGGTCAAAGTTGCTTCCTTCATTGATGATGGAAATTTCAGAGCAGAAGGACCCAATCATGCCATTCGGACCGCCAACGCAACGACTATTTCAGTTGAATTTGATCGGCATTCAGGTACCCAAACCAATGTTGACAAAACCAAGCACTTTGCCACATCGATCAAGGCAGAAAAGGAGCTTCGGAATCATCTCCACGCCCAAGGACATGACCAAGCATCGATTGTACGTAAGTTTACCCTGGTGGGAGGAGAGATATGCACGCTGGGCATGTGCCCGCAGGCCGAGAGACGCCGACGGTACACTTCAGCACATCGTGTGACACAACGCACTGGAGCAGCCCCACTTGGACTTCAGGGAAAGCAGCGTCTCTTGGCCACAGCAGCCTTGTCACGCCTTGCGCCAGGGATGGAATACCGACGGCTGCCGAAACACAATCATCTCAATTTCAGATCGGCGGTGATAAAAAGTATGTGGCAAAGAGGGAGAGCGCATCGTTCCCCAGCCATGACTCTAACTCTTGTTACCCGAGGTCACCTGCTTGACCCTGTGCAGATCGCCACTGCCCAACCACTGGTGATTGCAAGGCGACTCTTCTCCAGCCCGAGTGCACCACGACTATTACGACGTGCGAAGCAGTGCTGGGACATTTTGCAGCATCGAGTGACATGTAACGTGAAGGAAAACGACACTGGGCCAATCAACAGAATCCGCTCAGTCTTGAAAGATCTACAATGGACATGGCCAGCCTTCGGCTATTTTGAGAGGACTAATCATCAAAGAGTTTACCTCACCAAGCACCCCATGGGCTGTGGCGAACCGACCTCCAGTTGCAAGAACGTAAAGACATGAAGGGCTGCTCTGCTGGCCTGAACTATCATGTGACCACGTCCATCCTGCGCAAGGCTGACCGCATCACCAAGCCTGACGACGAGGACGTTGACGACGAGCCGAAGGAGCAGCCTCCGCTGCTACTTGGATCTTCGGACATACCAGTACCCAAATTGACTACCAAACAGGTTCCTTTCTTGCGTGCTTACCTACATC